AAGGCTTGGCACCCGGACAAAGCCCCTGGCCTCCCAGGTGTGGCCTCTTCCCCACCCTGCCTCCATCCTCCGTCCTCCGTCCACAGACATCGAGCTCTTCAGGCTGTGCTGGTCAAAGGTGGGGCCCAGGGCCTCCCTGCTCACCCATGTCCTCCTGTCTGTCCTGGGCCATCTTCGGCACGGCCAACCTCACCCAGCTCCATCCCCCAGCCCTTGCTGCCAGCAAAGGCTCCTGATAAGAGGACGGGCAGGCACAGCGCACGGAGGCTATAAGGGACTCGCAGAATCACTGAAAACCACAAGACAGCCTCCTCCAATGAGACCCCCACCCCGCCCTGCTGTCCAGCACCCACACAGTGCCTTGTCTCCTGAGGGAGACCACCACACCTGCTGCGACCCCCGGGAGAGGCAGCCCCTTGGGAAATGACAGCTCCAACAGCCCTGCTTGGGGTGGACCCAACACCAGGCCTCACATGGCCTCAGATGGCCTGACCACCGCCACCTTGGAGAGACCCTCTCCTCGGCCCTGTTCTCCTGTCCGGGAACCCGGGGTGCTGGGGGCGCCTGGGTCAGAACCCCACAACTCTCCTCCCTGAGCTTCCGTGCAAGGCCGGTCAAGAAGGACAGAGAAGTTGCCCAGGGCACCCATGGGGGTGGGGGGCCCAGGGTCCTTTCCTTATGTGGCGTCCCCCGGGCTCTGTGAAGAGGGCGTCACAGACAGTTTCACACTGGAGTCACAGCTTAGACACCAACAGGTCTTAATAGTCACCTATCAACGAAGACAGTAAACAGAGCACGTCAGGCAAACCGAGCAGGCCTGAAACGGCACGGAAAACACCACTGGCCATGAAGGGCCTCAAGACTCACCTCCACCTCCTGGGAATAAAAGGCCCAGCAAGCGCCCGCTGCACCCGATACCTTCTGCAGGAGAACCCACCCGACAAAGACCTGGGGAAGGGCTCGTGTCTCAAGGCCTCGCTAAGCAGGTGAATTGCCAAAGGCACCCCAGCCACCCGGCCGCCCCCCAGCAGAGGACAGAGACAGCAGCAGAGGCCTAGGGGGCTGTAGTTGCCTCCATCCAGCTGCTCTCCACTGCGGATGCCTGTTCCCCCGCAGGATGGGGCGCCCGCAGCCCCGTCACCCATCTCTCCCCACATCCCCTTCAGATACAGCCGGAGCCCTTCACTCGGGTCATGCGGCCCGTCCTTCTGACCTCTCACCTCCACCCCTGCTGCCCCTGCGCCACCCACATCACAGGCGGCATCTTCTCAACTCCTGGGACAGCCAAGCTCCCACCTCACTCAGGACTCAGGGTCTGTGACCGTGCCATGCCCACCCACCACCAGCACCTCAACCCCGTCCCACTCCCCACAGCACCGCAGCCTCTGTCCACGCCTGCCCACGTCTGCCCACGTCTGCCCAGCACAATCACGCGATGACCTATGTGCTGCTTTGCTCACGTCAATCATCGGTGGGGGCTGATGGAGGGCAGGGTCTGCTTGTCTCTGCAGATGCCGCCAGGCTGGGCACTGCCTGGCATGGAGGGCATGCTTTCCCTAAGGGCAGGGCCCAGCTGTCCGTGTTGTGGTGGGGCCCCAGAGCCCGGGGAGGCCGGCTCATAGGAGATTCTCAATTGCATACATATTGGGAAAAGATCCTGGTACTGGAGGGCAGAGGCCACAGAGAGCCCCAACCCTGGGCAGTGTCCTGGGCGTGGGGGCTCAGCCTGAGCTCTCAGTGGCCCCCATGGACAGTCTCTACGGAGAGGCCGTGTGTGAAGCCTTGGCCACGGAGGGCTCAGAGACTGGATGGTCCCACACTCATGGGCAGAGGAGGCTCTGGCCAGGTCCAGGTGGGTGCAATTTCACCAGGCTCCAGTGACTTGGGTGTTACCATGGGGAGGGGCACCAGGTGGAGGGACAGGCTCCAGCAAAGATCTGGAGGCAGGTGGTGGGGGGCGGAGGAAGAGAGGGGGAGCGTGAAGGGCCTGCACTGTAATGGGTGCCACCTGGGACAGGACACGTGTGCACGCTCACACGCCTTGCAGGCAGAGCTGGCTGACAGTATCTACTCTAGACACAGAGTTAAGATTAAACTCTTGGC